GCAGATGTTAGAGTTCGACCTTCTGCTTCCTGTTTCCACCTCAGTTCCAGCGCCAGGGGCTTCAGCAGACCCAGCAGCAGCAACAGACAGCAGCTTTGGTCCGGCAACTCCAACAACAACTCTCCAGTAAGCCTGCCTTCTTCCCCAAGGGAGCCCTAGAATAAGTGAGCGACAGGGTGGGCAAAGGTAGCTGTGGTGACTGCTTCAGGCCCAAGTTATGGGGGATCCCTCCCTCTCCTCCCTTCCCCCTTCATCTGATTAGCTTTCCTCCTGCATATGTACAGGCCTGCTTGGTCTCCCACCCTGACAATCTCTGGTTTTTCACACAGATACCCAGCCACAGCCCAGTACCAACATATTTGGACGCTACTGAGCCATCTGGAAGAACTGCTTATGCACTGGATGTGGCCCTACCCTTTCCTCTTAATTCCCAATCCTCTGCGGGCTAGCACCAGTAATGGTTGGGGCCCTTCCCTCAGGCTCCATTTTTAATAAGTTTTTAGTATTTTTGTTAATGTGAAGCATTGAGCTGTTGGGTTTTTGTATATTATTTATATAGAGACCCCAGAGCTGTTGCACCCAATACACAGAGCTTCTTTGCAAAGGGAGTGTGTGAATTCTGTGTCAGAAAAGGTTGGTCTTTTGGGAGAGTGCTGGGGGCTGGACCAACAAGACAGAGCCTTTGCGTGGTGCAGATCATCTCTCCTGTTTACTTCCCACCTCCTATCTTTCTGAATTCTGATTGAATGCCTGCCCTCTCCTCTGGCTCCAAAGCAACATGTTGAGCGAGGTATAGGCCCTCCATCTCTTAAGAAGGGCAGCTCGCCTCATCATCTCACCATTGCCACATCGCTTCCTCCATGGGGGACATACCACTGGGATTGGGCAGGACCATTAGGCCAGAGGAAAAATCAAGGGAACCCAATTTTCCTTTTATAACACCCCAGCTGGTGGCCTTTGAGCACTGAAGGTAGTGTGGAGATGACAGCTACTGGCTACCCCTTTGGCCATGTTGTGTGGTCCCATCATGCCCCGGGTAGCATCCTTTCCCTAAGTCCTATTTCTGAGATGAGAAATTGCCCTTTGTCAGCCTGTGCCATCATAGAGTAGGTGGTGGAAGGGCAATGTGGCTCTGAGAGGAAAGAGCCCAGTGAGAAGCAGCACCTGTTTCTCTGCCCTGCTGCTGGAACTGTTCTGTTTTCACATGACCCACCTTGACAATTACCCAGGATGACTATCACTCACTCCCATTTTACAGTACAGAAACTTAAAACTTGTTTCAGAGTAATATTTGGAGCTGTTGCTGGACCATTCTCAGGTCCCCTTCCTTGTGCTTTGAGTCCTAAATCCAAGGCTGTGCAGGAGAACCAACCGCTTTAGACAGTGGAGTCTTCGGACCGCCTATCTAGGACTGGAAGAGGACCAGCTGCAGCCCGGTGGGTGGTGGGTGGGCTGTACAGAAAGATCTGGCAATTAAGCGTAATGTCCAAGCCATTGTTGCTGTGCCCTGTTGCTAAGAAGTGTCAAGTGTGCAGGTAAAACAAGGAGTACCAATTAATACCCAAGTTATAAAAAAAATCCCTCTCCATGGACCCATCTACAAAGCCCTGGTGCATATGGAATTTTCAAAGTTTTAAGAGTTACGTGCACGAGGAATTGACAGGGTAAATGCGGTAAATGCGAACATGACAAACTTCCTGCATAATTCTGGCCTAACAAACACCGAGGAGCCACAGGGGTAGAGGCTTCTCTGGGATAAGGGATATTCAGAGAGGGAATGGGTGCTTGGCCAACTGGGTAGGTGCACTACATATAGAAGTGCAGACAACTGGGCCGGCTGAAGCAGTAGGGGGAGTGGAGCGACATCGACCTTTGGACCTTTGGGAGAGTAACAGGATGAGGGCTAAGTAGCCTCACTAGTGATTGCTGCCTGGGTAGTGCTTGTGCTGAGGAGAGGTGAGGGAGGTTGAGGCATGTCTGTGGAGTGTGACTGGGGGGGGTGTCCTGCTTGCAGTACCTCAGTTTCTCCCTGTGTTTCAAGCTCTCAAGCTTTGCAGGTAAAGTTTAGACTGGCTGCCGTGAAAGATCACCTGCCTGATAATTTAATGAGGTGTGTGTATGTTGAGACTGGAGAGGGTGTGGGTAGAGCTTGCCTGAGCAGGGGCAAAGGGGGTTGGGGCCAGAACTTGTGCCATCTCTGGCACAAAAGGAGTTAATGGCAGGGACCGCGC